TATATATATATATATATATATATATATATATATATATATATATATATATATATATATACAGAGAGAGAAAGGGGGGGAGAGAGAGAGAGAGGGAGAGAAAGAGAGAGAGGGAGGGAGGGAGGGAGGGAGGGAGAGAGAATCTGTTAAGGCGCTAACGGTAAAGTCCGTAAAGATCGAGAGAGTTCCAAAAGAAAAGGATCCGTAAAAGAACAAATTATTCTCGTCGTCAGTTGCGAAGAATTTCGGTTATAGGAAGGAAATGAGATCATTAAAGGTATTAATAATTGCTAATAAATATTAGTCCCTCGATTCTTTAAGTTCTGTTTAAAACATGAGATATTCGGGTTGTGTAGTGTGAATTTTGAAGTTTTTTCTTAGATTTTTCTCATAATATTCGTTAGATCTTGCGGTCTTTGTATGCATTTACAACGTTGAGGTGGAATAAAATTGTCTATTTTGTCATAATGAGCCGGCCAGACCACCTCATCTTACTCTGGTTGTATTATAAAGTTATGGAACCCTCCCAGCAAACGCAATGTTACATGTAACGTACATGTTACTTGTAATTTCCTACTCAACAATATAACTGTTATATAACATGCATGTTATGTAACAGTTATATTGTTGAGAAGGAAATTACAACTAACATGTATGTTATATGTAACATTGTATTTGCTGGGCTAGTAGCAAGAAGCTTGAAGCAACATTATTATAACGTTGCAACATATTATTATAGTATGTAACATATACTTAATATTATTGTAGTAACATATTATATCTAGTATTAAAGTACACACACACGCACACACACATACACATGTGGGTAATTGGAACATAGTCAAGAAATGTTTCCCTTTCATATATATGTTGTTGTGTTACCATATTGTTGTACTGTTGTCTTTGTTAATTTTATTGACTGTTTTGTTATTCAGGTGTTAATTCTTCTTCAGTATATTAATTGTAAAACAAAGTATGAAACGTCAATTGCATACTACATCAGTGAAAGTTGTCAAGAAGCGTCTGTATACCGAAGAAGTGAGACAGACTTTGGCACAAGTTGATGATGCATTACCCAAGGAGAACAAAAAGTCATAATAATGTCAAAATGATGTCATTTTGACTGTAAATGATCAATTTTTCATCAAGGCTCCTTGCAGTGACATCAAAATGACGTCATTTTGACGTTATTTTGACGTCATCGATATATATATCGATACATTGAAGGTATCGAATAATATCGAGATCGAGAGTCACTCGAGGCGCTAGCTAGCATAGCTCAGCATAGCTTTAGAGTAAAGAACGAGAGAATTCCAGAAGAAATCAGAAGAAAACGGATTACCCGCGTTTTCGCAGTCTATTATGTTTTAAGTATTCGACGTGGTTTAGCTGTGCCTAGAAGTAGGAAGAAAATGACTCCATTAAAGCAGGTATTTATAATTGCTAATAACTAATATTAGTCCTTCGATTCTTTAAAGTTCTGTTTGATAGTTGAGGTATTAGGATTGTGTAGTGTGAGCTTAGTATTTAAAAAAAATTTTTTTTATTGTATTCGTTTTACATTTTTTACAACATTCAGATAGAATGAAGCTGTTTATTTCGGCGTAATGTGCCGGCCCGCCTAACCTCACTTTTGATTTATAATGTTAGAGAGGACGGCATGATCACATTTGAATTAGGAAAGTCCTGTTGACAAGAAAATGAAGCTGAAGAGTGAAAAGGAGCTTTCTACCCACCTAGAATCTTTTCTCTTTCATGTGTTTCAACATGTGTTGTTGTGTTATCATGGTGTTGCAATATTATTTTTGTTAACTTTGTTGATATTTTGTCATTCAGGTATTATCCTCTTTAGTCTATTGTAAAGTGAAGTATGAAACGCAAGTTGCATGCTGCATCTGTGAAAGTAGTCAGAAAGCTTCTTTATACCGAAGAAGTAAGACAAACTTTATCACAAGTTGATGATGCATTAGAAGTTTTTGAGGTAGGAAGCCATGATCAACATTCAGTCGGGGATGATTCATTAGTTTATTCAGAGGTGGAG